ATTGGCCATCCACTTCCAAAATAGCAGGCCTCAGAAAACCCTATGTCTGAAATCTATGTGGAGTGTAGACACACATATTTGATGATCTGGACCAAGTATCAACCATTTCCACTGCTGAAATGTCTTCTCTAAATCAAAACAGTCGTACATTTCGAGATACAAATATGATTGCAGACAGTTATAGAAGAAGTGATGCCCACGTAAGCAAAGCTTCATTTACGGCGTCGATACGTCTGTCAGTCCAGTGCACGACAAAGCATTTGCTTTTCTTAGGTTGCATAGAGTTCACATGAGCTTTAAAATGTATTTTGTGGTCCACTGCAAGCTTATGAACAAAAGATCTGAACCCTATACTGTCCTGTGCCGTGTTCCCTCTTCTTTACACACAAGATGCCATTGCAGCAGTCACTGTGTCGATCTACCTGGTTGCGGGTCTTCCTCTTCTTTGCAATTTGAACTTACACGTGAGTAACTGATGGTATCTTTTACAGTCTGTACCTGGCCTGGTTGAGACTGCTGATCCTGACCTTCTCCAAGGAATTATTTCCACAGAGGTCATCAGTCTGGTTCCTGTGCAGTGTGAGAGGTGAGGTTCATGTGTAAAGTCATCTTCTGTGCTTTGGAAAAAAAAAGTGTTTGTTGTGAATAAACAATGGAATGTGCAAAATTAAAAAAAAATGTATTTTGTATATGTATAATATATTGGGCAGAAGGCGAAGCTACCAAGCCAAAGGTGGGTGACTTTTAATCCGCGGCCCTCGGGCCTGTCTTTCATTAGTTTTGTTCAGACATTCCTCTAGGTCGTATAGCCCTGGTGTTCAAGTTTCCGTACAGCGGTCACTTGTGGTTGCTGTGAGGCTGAACACTGTGACACTGATGTGTCAAATGCATTAATGGCTGGTTACCCAATGTGGAAAGAGAGTGGGGTGGAGCTCCCCGATTAAAACAAGCATGGAAGGAGGAGTGGCATCCACTTCCGTAATAGCTTGCCTCCGGAAACCCTATGAACCTGGAGAGAGGATGAGAGACACCCAAGTGTTGAGGACTCTCCTTCAGAGGGTCGCTATGAGTCGCCTGCGACTCGACTGCACTTAACGACAATATAATATAGTGAGTGATCTTCCAGATTTAGGGAAGTATCTAGAAGATTTCAACTGTCAAATGTAGAATTGCATTCTTGAGCTAAAGCCCCAGGATACATGGGCCAAACCTTTCTGCTTCTAAGGAGATATGTGCATTGGAGCATGAAAAGAATGCTTTCCTTACAGATTCAGGGATATCAGGTCACATTTCCCATAGGAAGATTCCTTGAGGGACTTCTGCCATTTCTCCTGATATATCTTATCAAAAGCTTCACTCTGCACCTCCGTGAAAGGACGTTTCCAGTGACCAAGAACTCCTGTGAAATGAAAACAACAAATGCAGAGAATACTTATAAAGCTCTCTCCACAATTCATTTAAATTCTGTGGTAAATATTCCCTCTTGTTTCTTTTCTTAAGCACTGAACTGTGAGAGAAGAGAGGAGAGGAGAGGAGAGGAGAGGAGAGGAAGGAGAGGAGAGGGAGAATATAAATTCATCATGGCCATGACTGTTTTGTAATTCATAACAGGTATGCAAGGATGGTTCAATGTAAGAAAAATAATTACTATAATTCATCACATTAACAGTACATAGAATAAGAACCACATGATCCTATCAACTGATGCAGAAAAGACCTTTGACAAAATCCAACACCTCTTCCTGATTAGAAAATTCAACACAATAGGAATAGAGGGGAATTTTCTCAACATAGTGAAAAGTATATACACAAAACCAAATGTCAACATTAGTCTCAGTGGAGAGAGAAGAAAGGCATTTATTCCCCTTGAGAAAAGGGATGAAACAAGGATGCCCACTTTCATCACTGCTGTTCAGTATTGTTTTGAAAATACTGGCTAGGACAATAAGACAAAAGAAGGAAGTCAGGGGTATCCAAATTGCAAGAGATGGTAAAATAAGACTTTTGTTGTCATTATGTGCCATCTACTTGCCTGTGACTCATTGTAATCCTATGTACAGTAACTCTGAACTCTGTCTTATCCTGAACCAATCTCACTATCTCCAACAGATCTGCTCCTTTTACCCCAGTCCTCGTGTCAACCCATCTCACCCAGGGTCTTCCTCTCCTACCTTGTCTCTCCACTCTTCCATGCACCTCTTCAAGGACTGATCCCTATGGGCAACATGCACAAAGTATGTAAGACTTCAAAAATTCTTGCCTTCACAGAGCAAACTTGGTTACAGCCTTTCCAGGACAGACCTGTTTGTTCTCTTGGCAGTCCATGGTATGTTCAGCACCACATTTCAAAGACATCAATTATTCTTTTGTCATTCTTATTCATTGCCCAGTTCTCTGATGCATAGCAAGTAATTGCAAAGACCACGGCCTGGATCAAGCACGCCTTATTCTCTAGACTGACATATATGTACTTTGGCACTCTGGAGAGGACCTTGACAGCAAACTTTCCTAATCTAATTAGTCTTTTGATTTCCTGGTTGCTGGTGCCAAGACTGTTTTTTGTGGACTCGAGCAAGCTGAAGTTGTTAACAATCTCAATCTCTTCTCCATCCATCATGGTGCTGCCAATTGACCCAGTGGTGACAATTTGTTTTCTTGATGTTGACCTTCGGTGCTTATTGAATACTGCAGTCCTTGACTTTCTGCAGCAGCTGTTTCAGCGAGAAAGGTGTGTCATCTGTATAATTCAACTTGATGAGTCTTCCTCCAATTCTAATGCCACATTCTTCTTCATAAAGACCAGCCTCCTGAATGATCTGATCCACATACAGACTGAAGAGGTATGAAGACAGGATGCATCCCTGACACACTCCTTTGCTGAGTTTGTATGGTGGCAAGAAGCTGAATTGCAATTCCAAAAAGACACTGTTCACGAGGCCTCCATCTGCTCTGCTGGAGAAGGATGGACAATCTCCTCCCGAGTGGTAAACTGCCTCTGAAAACCTGCTGGAGGGTCAGCTATGGGTAAGTTCCAACTCTACAGTACACAACAACAACATGGATATTATTAATGAGGACAGTTCCCCTTCATGAAGGGGTTAGAAGTTAGCCTCAGCCACCCTCACATTGTATCTGTTCTTTTTACAAAAGTTTAAACAAAGAATACTGCAAGGACCATGTTAAAGGAGGATCAACCTGGGAAGAATTGAGAGAAAGACAATAGGGCTATTTTAATTAGCAAATAGGAACAAGAGATATATAATTGAGTTTTGTTTTGTTGGGTTTTTTAATTTTATTTTATACTGGTTTACATAGAAAGTTCATAAAGTTCATACACATTATTTTTCACACTTGACCTTTTCCCTTTCCTTTGCCAATCCCTCCCATCAAATTGTATGACACTATGTTTTAGCCCCTGCCCCTTGGATTTTTGTATATGCTGTACAATAATGGTCTTATACAATACTTGTCCTTATGGGACTGAGTTAGTTCACTTAGTATAATGCTCTTCAGTCTCTCCCATTCTGGGTAGTAATTTACAAAATCATTGCTCCTGTGTGCTGCATAGTACTCCATTGGGTGAATGTACCATAAATTCTCAATCCATTCCATTGTGGTTGGACATCTGGACTGTTGCCATATTCTTGTTATGGTGAATAATGCCGCTATAAACTTTGGTGTACAAATCTCTGTGCCTCAGTTCTCATTTTCTCAGGGTATATTCCAAGCAATGGAATAGTTGGGTCATACAGAATTTCTATGTTCAAGGGACTATCAGAGTGCCTTTCAGAGGGGTTGTACCATTTTACAATCCCTATAAATGACTAGGGATGATAAAAGGAGAACTGATGCCTTTGAGCGGTGGTGCTAGAGAAGAGTATTGAGTATACCATGGACTGCTAAGAGAACAAACAGATTCATCCTGGAGAGGGTGAAACCAGTCTGCTCCTTGGAGGCAAGGATTCTGAAGTTCTGTCTAGCATTCTTTGGGCATGTTACAAGGAGAGACCAGTCCTTGGAGAAGGACATCATTCTTGGGAGGGTGGAGGGACAGCGGAGGAGAGGAAAACCTTCAATGAGATGGATTGACTGGGGTCATGGGGGTGGGTGTGTCGGAGACTGTAGTTGGCATAGGGTAGAGCAGGGTTTAGGGCTGTTGTACATAGTCATTATGAATCACAGGCGACTCAATGACACATAACAACAATAACAACGCAGTCAAACTCCTTTACATAGTAAATAAAGCACAGGGAGACATCATTCTGGAGTTCTCTGCTTTCAGTCAAGATGAACATCTACTTTACGTGTGCCCGTTTACTGAGGATATGTGCGACTGTGATGTTACGTACGACTGTTACTGATTACTTTCAAGCTGGCTCTGACTTCCGGTGGTGGCCCTGTGTGTGCATTACACAACTGATTCACAGCATTTCCAAGGCCGTGGTTCTTTCAGAAGTGCTTCACCGGACTTATCTTCCAATATGCCTCTCTGTATGCTTGAACCTCTGGTCTCCCAGGCAGTAGTCAATCACGTAACCATTTGCACCACTAATGGGCTCTATCTGGAGTGTAAGTATGTGATCAGCATGTGATGATCTGGACTAAGTATCCCCACGACAGAAATCCACTCTCTAAATCCACTATAGTCATTCATTTGGACAAGTATAGATAGAAATATGATTGGAGGTGGTTACAGAAACAGTAGATACCATGTCAGCAATACCTCATTTACTGGATCAATCAATCAGTCATAAGCATGACAAAGAATTTGCTTTTATTTCTTTTTTTTTTGCTGCATAAAATTCACAAGAGTTTGAAAATACTCTTCCCTGTGTGCATAAAATATAGTGCCATTTTCGGAATTTAATTATCTAGTGTATAATTGTGTTCTTGAGCCAAGCCTCCAGGACACAATGACCAGTGTCCTCCAATATCTAAGGAAATATGTGCATATGAGCAGGAAAGGAATCGATGTCCCTTTCAGATTCAGGAGTTTGGGATCATTTTTCCCATGGGAAAATTCCTTGAGGAAGTTCTGCCCTCTTCTCCTGGTATATCTTATCGAAAGCTTCGCTCTGGGCCACGGTGAAATGATTTTTCCAGTCTTCAGTGATTCCTGTGAAATGCAAAATATAAATGGAGGTGATACTAATAAATGGGACCTCAACACCTCACTTACACTTCAACGATAACTGTCCCTGTTGCTTCTCTCTTGTGAGCTGTGAATTTCAGGCGCCATGATTCTGTTCCTTTGGCACATGCTGAAAAAAAAGAACTCACTAGAATCATGACTGGTCACTGGAAGGTCAGTAAAAACAGTGTAAAACCTCATGAGATGATTGAAACAAGAGCTGTAACAATGGGCTCAAACGTAGCAAAGGTGATGGAAATGGCATAGAACAGGGCAGCATTTTCTTTGGTTGACCAATTTCCATGAATTGGGTTGACTCACTGGCAGCAAACACCACCACCAACAGAATAGAATCTCCTCTTTGTGGATTCCCCCGCATAGTGACAGACTGGCCACAGCTGAGATCAGAGTCCAGACGGGACTGAGTGCCCTCTGCAAACAGAGGATTCCGGCTAGCCCCCAGAGGAGACACTGGGTGCCCTCTGCAAGCAGAAGGTTCCTTCCAGCCTCCTGCCGGAGTGGATGCCACATCTGAACTTTGGTCTTAGTTTAAAGATTGTTTACCCACTGTTATGTTGGCAACACTTAAATAAAGACTTAAATATAGTCTCTGGAAATTGAACTTTTTTTGGAGGATTGGCTTAAACGAAATAAAAACCGCAGGGAAACTAAGAGAGAGGCCCTTCAAGTGCTAAGCTGTGACCCCTGCCTCGGCCCTCCCTGTTTTTCTGAACTCATTTTCTCACGTCCCTGCTTTCTATCTGCGTCCGGTTTGCAACACCTCTTTGGTTCAGACGGTCACTGGTTCTAACTTCAGACTTTGAGTTCCTAATGTATTTGAAAGTTAAATTTACCATCATGTAAGTAGGGCTTTTCCTAATACAGGCTTCTTTTTATTCCCCATAAATCTATTTTTATGCAGTTTTCCCCCACACTTTCCTTCATTGCCATTATGTTTCATACAATCATTCCCATACACCGTGTTTTATAAAATTGATCTCCATTGGCCTATGCCCACCATCACCCTGTCTTTTCAGGTTCCCACTGAATCTTCTCTGTTTGCTTTACTCTCTCCCTCAGCCCACCAAATTGTGCAACCTTGTGATTTCTCCCTTACGCATTCTCATCACCCTGCTCCCATATTTCACCCCTTGGGATCCCATATGCATTTTACTAGTCGTCCTTCTGTTTT